TAAGTAACAAAGTATAACATACTGCAATAGACATGTCAAACGGTGATTGTCTTGCATGATAGCTTATTTTGTCTGCTATAGCTTGAGCTTCAGCTTCAGATATGATTGTTCTATATTTAAAGTAATCACTACGGTTATCATCTTTGCCTTCTCTTAATATAGAGATATTACTAATCTTTACATCTTTGATACGAATAGTTACAGCTTTATGTCTTGGCACTTTAAGAGTACCTTGCTGAGGATAGCTTGATACTGTTGGTTCCATATTAGACAGTGTATATTAGCAACTTGTTGCTAGATACTAGTAATTTAGCACCATGTTACTTTATTGCTATATTTTAAGCTATATCTGCCTTACATAATATATACTCTCTGAATAGAATTTTAAAGTAGTGATTGAGACTTGGCAACCTGCTGGTTGATACATAAGGTGTCAGACTCATGACTAGAAAGATAATCATAGACATACACTGTAGTGTACCGTTTAGCTCGATTGAGATGAATATCCGACTTTCCATTCGATTCAGACTAACAACAGGCTGCACAGATGAATTGTTCATGGTTTGGGATGTCATGAAGATTATTGACCCAGCATGCAAAGCTCATCACACCTCACAAGCAAGCGGCAAGTTGAAACATCTGGATCTCCCATTAGACGGTATTAACGCATTTATCTGGGGTCATCTCTATACATGTCCCACTGGTGATCCCTAAGGCTCTATGATCTATCTAAGGGCCTGGCTATAATAGGTCCTTCCAGGGATTCGCAAGTGGAGATTAGTCCCAAGTCTTACATCATATTACAGTAGTAATACGTCGTCTGTGGGAATTGTAGTAATCCATTGTACCCATCTAGATAGGTCACGTGCGCTCTCACGTGTGCAGTTGAGGATAGCGGAGGACACATAGCTAGCTCCGTGCCCTTGCCCCTCCTCCCCTTTCTAGAACAGACATCAACGATTACACATACCATTGCGATTTGCACGCAGGCCTGTGTAGAGACCTACCGACACTGATCAGTGGTCGACTTGGTCGATCACAGACAGCTAGGAAGAAGAGACAAATCGCTAACCTTCAAGATCGGCTGCAAGGCATCGGTTGAGGAAGGTTATTTGTGCTAAGTGGCTATCTCAGGCTGCCAGGCATCTGGGAGAACCTACCAAGCTATTAATCGGCTGCAAGGCATCGATTAGTAGTGCGACCACATCGCCTAGCGACTTCTATTATCGGCTGCAAGGCATCGATCAACAGTTGTTACTAGACCCGACAAAGACGTATTTCGACAGCCAGATACGACTCCATCGTCTCATTCACTTGATCAACGATGACCCCGACCGACCGAGCTACGACTCCGAACGAGAGCGCTCAGCTCGAACAATTGAGCGAACGGATGCAAGGACTAGCTATCCAGACATCCGTATTCGATAAAGTTGATGTTACCCTTTGGGGACAAGACATCAAACCTGACGAGGAAGATGAGATCGCAGTTACGACGTACGCCGCTAGGTTCATGTCCAATGCCCAATTCGAACGCCTAGAAGGAGACGACATCCTTGACCACTTCCAACAACACTTCGAAGGCTGGAACCAAGACATATGGAACCGGGTACATATGGACTACAAGAGAGCCCTTAGATTACTTCTAAGGAGACGTGGCATCTATACAGGACGGAAAAATGGCCCTTTTGCACCCCAATTCATCATGTTGCAAACTGTGGAGGACCGACCTGCATGGCCAGAACGAGAGTACATGGAGATGGATTTTGACATTGGGACGACCGCTTATAAGTTACGAGCAACAGGATCAAATGCCCTAACTTCTCCCCGAGAACCCCAATCGCCACCGGTAGCAACACCCCGTTACAGTCTTAACGAACAACAGCCCATTAAGACCTTAACGAAGCCACCTGCCCAGGAACCCATCACTGAGGCACTACCGATAACAACATCACCTCCCACGACTTCCGCTCTGACCCAAGATGCACCTAACTTGAACTCTCGTACAGCCCATCCGACAACCCACCGCTTCAAGCACCCCGAACTCGTCCAATCCGCCCAAAACCCCACCTAAACCTCCGTCCGAGCATATGCATCTCGACGCATATACAAAACTTCCCCGGATGATACCCGAATGCCACTGTTGACGCAGATACCCAATATATGTTCATGAAGCTCTGGGATAAGGACCAGAACTACACAGGAGAGCCGTACGACCTCCTCGATGAGAAACCCGAATCTTCATGAGTATCTGCTACAACATCCAAGTGAAACCGTCACAATTTCACGCCCTTTTCCCCCGAATCCTCGCTGGAAGAGCACAAACGTTCTACATTAACAAGATCGAATGGACTACCACGTTTAGGAAGGCATACGACAGCATCAAACAACACTTTGACACGGAAGTTAACCATGTCCATTACTATACAGATTGGACCACAACCACTTTCAACTCGATTCGTGCCCAAGATGCTTCCAAATCCCTCCACGAAGTCCTTCAACTACTCTTCGATAAGCTACAACTCTGTCAGAGAGCCCTTGGCCCTGACTACGCAGGAAACATTCCACTGCGTACTACGCTTATCATCGCATGCCGTGGTGTACCCGAACTTGAACACGCCCTCTTCAAACCTGCAGCAAAGATCGAGACCCTCTTTGCAGATCTACGATCTTCCGTTGAGACCCACCTTGCCCGACAGACAAACCCTCAGTACTTGCAAAGCCCTGACGGATCATTTGGACCAACGAATCCGAACAATCAGTACTACCTCGATCGCCGATACCATAACAACCGCGTACGAGGAAGATACGGATACTCAGGACAACGACCCAATCGCGGATATGGACAAGGCTACAACCGTGGAAGCTACAGGCCCTCAAGCCATAGCAACTACACCCTAGCCACACCAATCGCAATTGGACCAAAAGTGCTTTGTTTGTGGACAAGAAGGTTGCTGGTCAACCAAACACTCTGCAGAAGAACGACAAGAGGCCAAGGACCAATATGTCGCACATTGTCAATTCACAGGCATACAACCTCCAAACTTCATAGCCTATCTTATAGACTACGAAGGTCATGAGCTTGATGAACTCACTACCGACGACATATGGGAAGAACCTGACAATGGCACCAACAATCACCCTAGACAATGGAGAAGTCTACCGGACGGATCAAACCATTGTTCCCGCCTAGCAATTCGTCATTGAAGATCAATATTCAGTGGACAATTTCCCAGGCATCATGATTGACACAGGTGCAGCAAAAGTCTCTACAGCCGGTCACTCTCAGTACATTGCTCTACAACGAGAAGACCCTCTGTAGCCCTAGACAGCTCAACCTCCGGCCAGGCTACCATCACATTTGGACACGGCGAAGCCACTCACTCGATTGGTTCCATCGCCCTCAAAACACCAGTCGGAAGGATCACGTTCCACATCCTTCAGACCCCTACCCAGGAAGAAGAAGAACCCCCAGACCGGCATGAAACCCCCGCACCCCACAAGAGAGGACGCCCGCCCGGATCAAAGAACAAGCCCCAGCCCGCAGCACACGGAGCCTCGAGGACCGGCCGGCACACAAGAGCAAATAACAATATGTGCCTGTAGTCCCTAGAGGAGCCATATGCCCACAAAGAAGAAAAGCTCGAGGAAGCACAATTTCGAGCCAAGCCAAAGACCTCGATGACCACAAGTACAACGGTTGACTCAACGCATTTGATTAGCACCAGCGCTACGTTCAAGCATCAGCGCTACGTTCAAGGTATACACAATCAAACAGTTCCTGTCACCGACAAGTCTTCCAAATCTTCTTCGACTGTTCACCTCTTTGACCCCAATACACTCTTTTCCCTCTTTTCATTATGGCCCCACTTTTTGGGCCTGTTGACATTTTGCCACCACTGCAGCTGGTCTCTCCCTCTCTTTCCCTGCTCGTTACAGCGATTGCAACCACAAAAGAAAAGTTGCCAGTGTGGGAATTGTAGTAATCCATTGTACCCATCTAGATAGGTCACGTGCGCTCTCGTGTGCAGTTGAGGATAGCGGAGGACACATAGCTAGCTCCGTGCCCTTTGCCCCCTCTTCCCCCTTTCTAGAACAGACATCAACGATTACACATACCATTGCGATTTGCACGCAGGCCTGTGTAGAGACCTACCGACATCGTCATATATTTACTGCTGTGACGTTAACTATGGTAACTTTGTTTTAGGTCAGGTATTATCCATTCTGATCACAGAGAAGTTAGTCTAACAACTAAGGATGTAAAGTGCTCATGCTCTCACGAAGAAAGTCAGCAGAAAGGTCATATTGTATTCCGTGTCTCTGTTCTCCTCCCTTTCTGCCCTAAACCCAAGCCCCTATTTATATCCCTCTTTCGTAGTAAAGGTAATGTGTTCAGGGAGGCTGGGGACCTGGGGGTTCCCAGCCTCTCGACTGGAGATGTTCCAGTCTTTTAAGAGGAGCTTTCCAGCCTCCTCGTTCAGACCTGGTTATCAGCTCCCTTGCTGCCCTAGCTACCCATGGGTGACCTGGTTGACTCGACCATGGGCCGTTCTTCGCGACACATGCACTTCTAGGATAACCTTTGCAGAGTTACTCAGCTAGTAGTACGCGCCAATCAGGAACTAGTATGTGACTTTCCAAGCAAGGGCAAGCGGGTAATCGGCGGTAATCTGCGGGGTAATCCGCTGACCGCCCACCAAAGCCGGACCTGTGACATCCACTTGATGTCGCGTGCCACCATGGCAATGCCAGAGGTGGTGCCCCTGGCGGATGTGGGGGCGGGTCCAGATCCAGCTAGCCCGTCGCCATCGACGCGTCCGACGCGAGGGATGACGCCCAGCGGACGAGTGCAAGATACGTTGCAATCACTGGAAGATGCGTCCGCAAGGGCTTCGAAGCGAATCACGACGCGAACGACGCGAGTCACGTCAGTGGGAAATGATGGCGAAAGAAGCGACGAAGTGAAGTCACGCAGCAATGTGGAGACCGCCAAATCGATGATGCAGAGAGTCCTGGAGACGCTGGGGAAGATGGGCAGTGAAATGGTGGAGCTGAAACATCGGGTATCCGAGCAAAACGACATGATCAGGAAGTTGAACGCCACTGTCTACAAGCAAAGCACCATCATCCAAGGACAGGAAGATCTCATCCGAGGCCTGGAGGTCCAAGTCCAGGAATCCAAGGAAGAGTTTCAACGCAAGAGCGATGAGCACGACGCGGAATTAAAACGGGGACATCGGGATCTTCAGAGAGAGGTTGCCGCTGTGAAAGAGCAATTGGCCCAGCTCACGCAGAACCTGAATGCTTCGGGGGAGGTGACTCTGTCGAGCGGCACTCGAGCAACGTTTGCCGACATTGCGCGTACACTGCCAGCGAGCCCGCCGACCAGTCTATCCAGCGTAGCTGTCCCAAGAAAGCAGCAGACAGCCAGCGATCCTCTCCACTGTACCATCGACACATCTCGCGTCAGCGAGTCGAAGAAGAACAACGCGCAAATCGGATCAATTCGCCAGGCCATCGAGACTGAGATGAGAGCGATGAACGGACAAGAGACCTGGAGGTGCGCAGCAGTCGTGAGAGAGTCCCGGAATGCCGACCGAGTCAAGATCGTCTGCAGAGACGAAGCCGAGCTTCAGATGGTCAAAGATGCTGCGCAGAAGACAGCCGTGGAAGGTTCGCGAGTTATGCGAGACCAGCTGTATCCGGTCCGAGTCGACAACGCCAACCGCACAGCAATCCTGACGCGGAAGGCAACGTTCTGCCTGGAGCGATCGAGGCCTTGAGTGCCGAAAACAGAGTGACCATTGGCAAGATTTCCTGGTTGAGCAAACGAGAGTCTGGCAAAGCGTACGGATCCATGGTGGTGTATGTCACCAAGAAACGCGACGCAGAAAGGCTTCTGGAAGGGTACTACTTTGACCTAGCGGGAGAGTCAGCCACCACCTATGTATTCGAGCCAAGAACGGGACCAATCCAATGCTTCAACTGCCAGGAGATCGGTCACAAAGCATATTCATGCAAGAAACAGCGGACATGCGGCAAGTGCGCAAACGTTGGGCATCACCACCGGGAATGCACCGCGATTGAACCAAAATGTGTCCCGTGTGGCGGACCGCACGAGTCATTCAGCTGGAAGTGCAGGATGAGGAATCCGAGCAGTGATGCTTGAGTCCCTCCGCATCCTACAGCTGAATGCACACAAGAGTGATGTGGTGCAGCAGAGTCTGATGAACGACGAAGACCTAAAGGATTTTGCCGCACTGGCTATATCTGAGCCACATGCGCGCAATATCGACGGAAAGGTGGTGACGAGTCCTACGGGACACCATAACTGGACAAAGATGATACCGACGTGTGTTCGTGATGGCCTATGGCCGATTCGCAGCATGCTCTGGATCCGAAGTGACCTTGAGGCGGAGCAAGTGCCTGTGCCGTCAGCCGATCTCACAGCAGCGGTACTCCGACTTGAGGGAAGGGAGGTGATGGTGGTGTCAGTGTATGTGCAAGGAAAGAACGACGAGGCGCTGACAAACGCGATGGAACTATTGCGCGACGTGATCGATCGCTTCCGCAATGGGACAGGGAGACGTACCGATGTGGTTTTGGCGGGGGACTTCAACCGCCACGACCTCCTCTGGGGCGGAGATGAAGTGTCAGCGAGCAGACAAGGGGAGGGCCAGCCCATCATTGACCTGATGGACGACTTTGGTCTTAGCAGCCTTCTCCCGAGAGGGACGAAAACGTGGCAAAGGTCGGACGAGGAGAGCACCATCGACTTGGTGCTGGCATCGGCGGAACTGGCGGACGAGTTGACATCCTGCGTGATTCATCCAACAGAGCACGGATCAGACCATAGAGCGATCCAGACGACCTTCGACGTTCGATCACCGAAAGCAAGGGCGAGCAAGCCGAGGAACTCCTGAGCACCTTCTTTCCGCCTCTGCCAACGAGGATCGAGCCGGAGGGTGAACGTCCGCAGAGAGAAGAAATAGCCATGCCAGACCTCACCTTGCAAGAGATTGAGGAGAAGGTGATGGCGGCGAAGCCCTGGGAAAGCGCCTGGTGAGGATGGCCTTCCTGCGATCGTGTGGAAGAAGCTCTGGCACGTGGTCAAGCACCGGGTGTGGACGCTCTTCAGCTCATCGCTCCGAGAGGGCGTCGTGCCTCATCAATGGCGAACGGCCAAGATCATCCCTCTGAGGAAACCAGATAAAGGAGACTACACCCTGGCCAAGGCGTGGCGACCGATTTCTCTCCTGTCGACGCTTGGCAAGATTCTGGAGGCAGTCGTCGCGGAACGTATCAGCTATGCAGTCGAGGCTCAAGGGCTTTTGCCCGCGAACCACTTTGGTGCACGGAAGCGCAGGTCCGCAGATCAAGCACTCGTGCTTCTGCAGGAGCGAATCTACAAGGCCTGGAGAACGGGCAGAGTGCTCAGCCTCATCAGCTTTGACGTCAAAGGCGCATACAACGGAGTGTGCAAAGAGCGAATGCTCGAAAGGATGAAAGCTCGAGGCATCCCGAGTCGACTGGTCAATTGGATAGACGCATTCTGCTCGGGACGGACCGCGTCGGTGGTTGTCAACGGGCACACATCCGAGCAACAAACCCTGCCGCAGGCCGGCCTACCCCAGGGGATCTCCTCTGTCGCCAGTGGCTTTTCTTTTCTTCAACGCAGACCTGGTGCAAAGACGGATCAGTAATAACGGTGGCTCCATCGCCTTCGTGGACGATTACTCTGCCTGGGTCACGGGGCCAACGGCAGAGTCAAACAGAGATGGTATCCAGTCGATTATCGATGATGCGCTTGATTGGGAGAAGCGCAGCGGCGCCACATTTGAAGCAGAGAAGACATCCTTCATCCACTTCACACGCATCGCGGAGCGTGACAGCGACCTGCCTCTCATCATCAAAGGAAACGATGTCAAGCCGAAGAGCAACGTGAAGCTGTTGGGAGTCATCATGGACAAAGCGCTTGCTTCAAGGAACACATCGCCAGAGCGGCCGCCAAGGGGCTGGCCGCGGCCATGTGTTTGAAACGACTGAAGATGGCTTCGCCACGGATGGCGAGGCAACTGTTCGTCGCGACCGTGGTGCCAGCCATGGACTATGCCTCAAATGTGTGGTCGCACGCGTGCTGGGTGAAAGAAGCGGCGTGGATTGGCAGGGCCCAGCGAATCGGAGCCCAGGCTGTCATAGGAGGCTTCCGCACGGTGGCAACGGCAGTGGCTGATGCCGAGGCCGGCGTGCAATCGTTCCGAGAACGGCATGCTCAAGCGGCAGCGAAATTCTGGATAAGGATGCGGACGCTCCCGAAGACGCATCCTCTGACATCGTTGAGGCTCAAACTGAACAGGAGGTATGCGTCGCCAATGCAGAAGCTCGCCTCGGCGATGGGAAGAATAGATACCAAGCGCCTGGAAGTCATCCACGAGTTCGCACTGGCGCCGTGGGACGAACGAGTGCAGGCAACGTACGAGGCAGACCGAGTGGAGGTGCTGAAGTCGGATGACCCGGAGGACATCACTATTGCGACGTCCAGCTCGCAAAGGAAAGGCAAGGTCGGGTTGGGAGGCGTCGTTCGGGATGCTTCCCGCGACAGCGCAGACGAAGTGCTGGCCAGCTACTCCGTCACTCTCGGCTCCAGTGATGAGCAGAATGCCTACACAGCAGGACTCGAGGCAATCGCGACGGCTCTGAGGTGTGTACCTCTCGGTCTTCATGACCGAGATCTCACGGTTGTGACGAGCAACCGCTCTGTCCTGCAAGTCATCGGGCGGCCACGGCAACAGTCTGGTCAGTGCACGATACGGGCGATATACGGATCTGTTGAGTATCTGGCAAAAAGAGGCTGCAGAGTCAGACTTCGTTGGGTGCCTGCAAAGAATGAGGAGTTCACTCTAGGGCCACTGGCCAAAATGCAAGCGAAAAGAGCGACGCGAGACGAGTGCATCGCCGAACCAGCAACGTTTCAAGCAAGATCAACGACGTTACGACTGCTGCTCAACGAACACGCTCGCGTTCGTCAGATCCCGGAAGGGGTTGGAAAGCACTCAAAGCGCATCGATAAGGCATTGCCGGGCAAGCACACCCGCAAGTTGTACGACGAGCTAACAAGAAAGGAATCCGGAGTGTTGATACAACTTCGAACTGGCAAATCGCGGCTGAATAGCTACCTCTGCAAAATCGGGGCGGTGGAATCGGATGAGTGCACTTGTGGGCAGTCTGCAGAAACAGTGGAGCATTTCCTCTTTCGATGCAGAAGATGGACGGTACAACGAGAGACCATGCTGCGATATGCGCGCGGAAAGGTGGGAGACTTGTCTTTCTTCCTAGGAGGCAAGGCAGAGTCAGACGACGACAAGTGGCAACCTGATATTGGGGCTGTGCGTGCGACGATACAGTTCGCATTGGCGACAAAACGCTTCAGTATGGACCGTTAACGGGCCATGTACTGATCAAGAACAACCATACTAACACAACAGCCTTCAACTTGGCAGACCGCGCTTCAGTCGCTGAAGGTAGGACGCTGAACACTTGGAGAAACTGACCTTCAAGCAGGCCTGTCATGTCACAGCGAACGAGGCTGGAAACAGATGGAAAGAAGCGTTGGGCTTTGGGTGAGAAGAAACCATGTATAGTAGGTACGTAGCTTAGCGTAGTGGCTCTATGGGGGAACCCTCCGGGCGTAATACAACCAAAAAAAAAGCTGGTGCTGGACACCGCAGTAGCCAGTACACCGCAATAGCCAGATTTTCGACTCCTCCAACTAAAATCGCTTCAGCCACCGCGTTCCGCGCTCAGAATCGCATATTTCCACCCTGGGCAGCCTTCCAGATACCCTCCATTTACGAGCCTTTTTTGCTGCCTCTTCAAACCATCGCCTGCGTGCGCTGCGTGCCTTCAACTCCGCGGCCTCGATCACCTTTCTAGCCTTAGCGATTTGGTCTTCCTCCCTTTTCTGCACCATTTCACGCCCTTGGGCTACCGTCAAAACCCCTCCCGATTGCAATTGCGTGTTTCTCATCGCCTTACGTTGTTGTTGGATGCGTTCGGCCATTTTGGTCCTTCCCAGATCTCTTTTGGTCTGCACAAGTTCGGTAGCCAGAGATAGCGATCCCGAATAAAGCGACCCAAATCGCGAGAAAATTCGGGATTTAGGTCTTCGTCTTCTTGGAGTACGATCTCGAGTTTATCAGCTACTTTGTTTATTTGCCGAAGAGTCAGTGGCGTCTCGAATGGCGAAGAGTGTGGTTCTAAATTGGGGGGAGCCGGAGGAGTGGGCGTCTTTTTCGTCTGACGAGCCTCCAGCAGCTGGAGTACCGCTTGTGGATTCGGTGGCCAGATTCCCGTTTTTCGGAATGCAGAGCGAATAGTATTTTGTCTGAAGGCTTGTGATCGTACTTGCTGAATGCAGGAAAGAAATTCGAGTTTGGTTATATTGACAAGGCCGTCTCGAACCATAACTTCCAGCGCTTTGGCGTGGTAGTGCTTCAATGGCTGGAATACCACAACATCCAGAGGCTGGAGTAGATGCGTGAGATTCGGGGGCATACCGAATGGAATGATGCCGTGTTCGTCGCAATACTGAATGAATTGCCTTGTGTGGTGGGAGCCATGGCCATCGAGAATTAGCAGACGCTTCGAGCTTCTCGAGGTCTTTGCCGAATGCTTGTCAAAATGTTGAAGCCATTCCAGACTAATTTCGTCGTTTGAGTAGCCGGTCGATGTAGGTCGGATAGCTGTATCGGGATCTAGACCAGGTATCTGATACCATGAGGTCATGTGCATCTGTCCAGATAGGATTAAGAAAGCGGAATGAAAGCTCCACCAGCCGAGATAGCCTCGATCGCAGTGGCAGACTCCTGTTCTCAGTGATAGCAAAATAATGGGCTCTCTTTCGTTTAGTGACGACCAATTGATCTTTGCCAACTCCGATCCGAAATCCGGTCTCGTCCATATTCCAGATATCTTCAGGGGTATACCCTTCTCTTGGATGACCTTGTGGAGGCTCTGGAAATACTGATTGACGCGGGTGAGGTCTTCGGAGGCTTGACGTTCTGAGTGGAGCTTCTTTGAAGCTTCTTGAAGTAGCCGTGACGTTTGAGAAAGCGAGAAGTCCACCTGCTACCAATAACGAGATCGGCTTGACCAGATCGCTGATGCAAGATGTGATTTGCCGCATCGGTGACGAACTCTGGGCGTACCGCAAGGTTGATATTGTCAAGGCGATCGATGTAACGACACAAAGCCGCCTCTTCTGGTCGCGATAGCTTCAAATTCGTGGCTGGTCTGCCTGTTTTGGGAGGACGGCCTTCAAGGCGGTATCGCAATCGATTGCGTGGTACGCCGAATTCCCGAGCAACCGTGGCCACCTTCGCACCAGAAAATGTTCAATATATCGAAGAGCTTCTTGGATACGTGCTTCCATCTCTGCAAGTCAAAGGATTGTGATATGGTTGAAGTGTAGGTGATTGAAGTTAGACGGTGAAAATTCTGGCTATTGCGGTGTACTGGCTACTGTGGTGTCCAGCACCAGCTTATGGGTGAGGAACGAACGCGAAATAAGTGGGGCGTGGCACGGGTATGGCGTTTTGCACCCGCAACAAGCCGGTGCGCTTCCAAAACGGTCCGCTGTTGATCTCGCCGCCGCCTTGGTGCAGAACATCGAAGAGGCCTTTTCGCGCAAACAAGTCGCCACGCTTGTGACCATGGACATCCAGGGCGCTTTCGATACAGTCCTCCGCAACAGGCTTGTCCTCCGCCTTCGACAGCAAGGGGCCTCCGAACCTCGCTCGCTGGGCTGGCTCCTTTATGCACGACCGCCGATCGGCACGCATCCGCTACCAGGACACAACTCCAATCCTCGGAGTCCGGAGGCTTCGTGAGGTAGCAAGACGTCCCACGGCAGACGATTGCTCGTTGACTCGTCTAGGGAAGAGGGCTCTTATCGCCACCTCGCTGCAGGAGGCCTCTTCAGCCCCTCAGCTCAATCTTCCCACATTCAGCTTTCTGGGGTCTGTCCCTATGGAGCTTCTGATCCCGCAGATTTTTATGCAGAGCTTCGTGGCCCGACCTTCTTTCCATGGTTCGGACCCATTGCCTACCACCCATATAGCTATAGAGTGTAGCTATATTGCCATTTCGACAGTCCTAGTCATCTGATCGTTCCGGCCTTCTTTTCGACACCCTCCCATTGCGTACCTAAGTGCATTTCCACAACCCCCCCCCTTCGGTCTTTCCGGCATTGGTTGAACTTATATCTCTTTTACAAACCCCACTTCAACAATCCTCTCCATTGTCAACCTCAGGTTCGCAACCTTCCCCCGGGTGTTGTCTCTTATCCAAAGAAAGGTGACCAACAGAATTCTTCTCACGATGCTCGTCCCCGGCCGGACTCGCATTTGCCCCTTGCCCACAATATACAGTACCTTTTGAGTATATGCGCGATCAAGCCTCGCCAACTCCGCCGCGAGCCGCTCATCCATGAGCTCGGGAAGGTTTTCCGGACTTCCATTGGGTGTCGACGTCACACTGATGCCTTGCTCGTTTTCGGTGACGGACTTGTCGGCGACGGGGTTGGCAGCGTCTTGATTCATGATGAACTTGCGTATCTGTTTGTAAATCAAAATACCCAAGTCTGGGCTGATGATCTCGTCCATGTAGCCATGGCGGATGACGAGGCGGTAACAGCCGGGGATGGGAGTGAATCGTGAGACGTGGTAGCGTTCCTCGTCGGCGACAGATGGAGTCTCGACTGGGTGGAGGTGAAAGAAGACGGAGATATTCGGCACAGCGCCAAGTTTGGAGATGAAGTGGGTGAAGACGCTCGGAGTAAGGACTCCAGTCTTGTCGAAGAAGATGCCGAAACCACCGACGGTAGATATTTGGATGCCACCCCAACGAGGAGTCAGCGCCAATGACCCGTCCGCATTCTTCGTGACGAGATTCCTGGGTGGGAAACGATCCTCGGCTTCAGCGCGCCACTGGTTCTCCTTGCCGAATCTCCACAGCAGAAACAAGCCAGCCAAGATGGCGGATAGAAGAAGCGTAAACCACGCGCCATCAGGTACTTTGTTCAGGGCCGACGAGAGATATAACCCGTCGAGGGTAGCAAAGGTTAGGGCCGGCATGAACACTAGCCATATTGGAAGACGCCAGACGAGGACTGCAACGAGCGTGACCATGAGGGTATCGAAGAAGGTGACGAAAATGACGCAAACGCCGTAAGCATGGCCCAGGCTTGTGGTGTTGTTGTAGACGGCGGTAACGATAATGGTTCCGAGCATGAGTATCCAGTTGAGGAAAGGGACGTATAGCTGGCCATGGAACGTGGTGGAGGTGTGGACGACTTTCACCTGCGGGCAATACGAGAGCTTCATGATTTGGCTGATCAGCTGCAGGCACATTAGCATGAATGTCTAGGTAGAGAGCAAATGGCTGACGGCGGTTACCTGGAACGTGGCCGTGATTATAGCCTGCGAAGCAACAATAGCAGCCAAGATGGCAAAAACTAAGCTAGGGTAGAACATTCCGGGAGGGACAGTATTGAAGAAGGGGTTCGTGTACTTGTCTGGCGCGAGAGAAAGGTAGGCAGCTTGTCCGCTGTATGCGAGCAGTAGGCACGGAAATGTCCAGAAAAGCCAGCTCAACTGCACAGCGCGCATGCTGAAGGCGCCGAGATCAGCAAAGAGCGCTTCGACGCCGGTGAAGGCGAGCAGGACGCCGCCTAGCATCTTCCACCCCTCAGTCCCGTGCTCGACGAAGAACTGGATGGCAAACGAGGGGCTAAAGGCCTTGAGGACAGTGCAGTCGTGCTTGACGAGATTGTAAATGCCGAAGCAGCCGTTGAGGCCGAGCCAAACTATAACAATGGGTGCAAAAAACCAGGCAATCCTAGTCGTCCCTAGGGGCTGGATGAGAAAGAGGAGGATAAGGATGCCACAGGTGGTACCGATAATGGTTGGTGTGCCGATGTCGGGTTTGACAACCGATAAACCCTGGATGGCGCCCAGCACCGACTGAGCCGGGGTGAGGACGCCGTCGGCCATTACCATGGAGACGGCCAGGACGCCAATCGTTTTCAAGAAAGCGCGGGTGAATTTGCTGTTCTCGATGGCGTGACGGATGCTCCGGGTGGAAGGGCGCACGTCTTGAGTGTTGTGTCGCTCCATCCGAACCGTGACTTCTTCGCGAGGATCTCTGCCGGTGATGTTTGCCTTTGTATTGTCAGTCGGGAGCAGCAATTGCTTGGTGGAGAGATGTACATATCGCGTCAGGAGAGAGTAGCAGCTGAAGGTGCCCCCCTCGCCTTCGTTGTCAGCGCGAAGGATGATGAAGACATATTTAGCGGTGACTATGAGAGTCAAAGACCAGATGATGAGCGACAGCACTTGGATGATCTCATCCCTCGTCGGCGTCGCCGAGAACGTCGACGAGTACACATAGAGGGGGCTGGCTGCGCGTCAGCACCATATGGATCTTGATGTAAGGTGATTGGCACGCACCTGGTTCCAATGTCCCCGTAGATGACACCAATGGACTGATATGTGAGCCTGCAGGCAGAAATGTCAGGGAATGGCACCGGCACAGCGCAATGTCGACACAAACCAGAGCAGAGTCTTGCCCCTGAATACCTGCTTCTTGTCGCCGTCTCGACGCCAGCCGCCGCCCTCGTCACCATCGGCGTCGAAATTGTGGGTACGGGCGCGCGAGAGACTGCGGCGGCCGGTGGCGATGCGGGTTAGGTCGCGTCCATAGTACACGCCGCCGGCAATGTCGCTGGTCGGCTCTATGGGGGTTTGACAAGTCGGCTGCTCATTGTCAGCGCGGCCGGTCCCGGTTTTCAGGCTGTTGTCCTCGATCTTGATCTTTGTGGTGGCCATGCCAGGTAAGGAAGACGAGTGAGGAGCAGAAGAAGGTGAGGGCAGGACCAAGGGCAGGTCTGGCGACGGCACAGGTTTTATTCTCGGTCCACCAACAGTGTATCATGGCCTGGTATTTCTCGTGTCTCGGGCGTCAATAAATGGGGCTTGTCCGTTATCACCACCACGGCATCCACGTTTGGGGGATCGCAGCTAACAGCCCTTAGCACCATCCAAGCTGGTCAATCCTCGGGCAAATGCAGTCGAGACGGGCCCAGGCCCGATAATGGGGGCCCACGGACAACATACCCCGGGCTGAGTCCGCCACAGGTCGAGCACAGGGGCCGTGCACAGCTTGTGCTTTCGGGGCATGTTGGCGAGCAGCTGCGCTAGGGCTAAAGCTCAGGTCGTACGTGTGGCGTCCGCAGTCATCCATGTAAGCCGCCGCTCGCTCTCCCCGGGTTACAACATGAACCGGTGTACGCGCGGCATGACGTGGGTGTTGGTGGCGTGCTCCAGGAGCCCCTTTCGGCTTGCTATATCCGACACTCGGAATGTGGCGAGATGAACAAAGGCCCTGAAACCCGATCGAGTAAAGCCCTAAATGTACAGCAGCATTAGGTTTTGACCCTGTTGGCAAGTACATGCATGCATGTAGTGATAGCCACATAGCGATAGATGGTGCCTTTCTACCCAGATGACGCACTCGTCGTTCTCCCGCGACGGCCCGCCCATACTCCTGAAGGCTTCCTTTACGGCGGCGACTGATACATTGGCGCCCGGGCGCCATTTTATTATGAGGATTACTATTTGTAGGGCCACAAACCTCTATTTGTAGGGCCGGCCCAGCCGGCCCAATCTTTTTTGTGGCCGGCTCGTTCACCACATTTTTGACTTTTCTGCAAGACACAGTATACTCGGGGGGTTGAGTACGTGAAGGATTTACCGGTGATCTGCCGGATCCCGTGATCTGCCGGACTTACCACGATAAGCCTGCCTCCATGGCGTAGTGGTGACACGTCTGGAGCCTCTGCGTCGCAGAGGGGTCGGTTCGAAGCCGGCTGGAGGCACCCCTGAGCGAACAGGGTACACCCGGGTTCCCGCCCGTCAACAGGGAACAGCGTCATGAGAGAACACAATCGGCGTACCAACCACCATCAATGACTAACACAACCACGCTTCAACTTCGGCACATCGCGCTTCAGTTGCTGGGAATAGGATGCTGAACACTTGGAGAAATTGACCTTCAAGCAGGTCTGTCATGGAGCGAACAGTGGAATGGTTGGCGCAGCGTAAGATGATCTGTGGGGCTTGGGGAGTCAAGGAACAAACGTGTTGAACTGTACTCTAGACAGTGTAAAGGCCTTATAGGGACCTCCCTCCGGGCGAAATAAATCCTACTACTACTACTACACGATAAGCCTGTCCGGCAGATCACGGTAAGCCTGGCCTCCATGGCGTAGTGGTGACACGTCTGGAGCCTCTGCGTCCGTCGCAGAGGGGTCGGTTCGAAGCCGGCTGGAGGCACCCCTGGTGAAACAGGGTACACCCGGGTTCCCCGCTCGTCAAAGGGGGCAGCGTCATGAGAGAACATCAGTTCACAACGTCACGTTCAATGAAGACCCAATTCGGTAATTCGGTGATAGAAGAATTCGTCAAGTACAATCGGCGTACCAACCACCATCAACAATAACACATCCAGCTTCGTCTTCGACAAATCGCGCTTCAGTTGCTGAGAATAGGATGCTGAACACTTGGAGAAATTGACCTTCAAGCAGGTCTGTCGTGGGGCGAACAGTGGAATGGTTGGCGCAGCGTAAGATGATCTGTGGGGCTTGGGGAGTCAAGGAACAAACGTGTTGAACTGTACTCTAGACAGTGTAAAGGCCTTATAGGGACCTCCCTCCGGGCGAAATAAATCCTACTACTACTACTACCACGATACAGCCAGATCATCATCACCGACATTCTGGACGCCACCACGAGGGACACTCTGTGAAATCCTACCTGCCTACCTTGAATTATTATCTCTCTATTGAATCGGAAAAGCTGTGTGGTGGTCGAGTCGGCAGCATGAGCATGCTGGTGAATGCGGGGCCTAGGGTGGGGCCGCGCGGCCCCTCGTCGTCGCCGACCGAAGGCAGAATCGTGAAACGCAAGCTACTCGATGGGACAGCAAAAGAGTTGAATAAAAGCAGCCGATATGCGACAAGAGCGACAAGAAAGGAAACAGGTGAAATTGAATGCGCGAGACTACCGGGAAATGAAAATGTCAACAGCAGTCAGGAAGAAGTGGCGATGATTGAGAAGGTTTGGGAGCTGCTGGACGAGTATCGTGCGGAATTCCGAGGATTGAAAGAGACACTCAGAGAGCAAAATGAGATCATCCGTGAGCAGCAAGAGATAATCCGAAAACAGAAAGAAGAAATAGAAAAGCAAGGAACTATCAGCCGAGAGCTCAGCATTCATCTGGAAGACATGAAGCAGCAGATGAACGACCAACTTGAGCAGGTCCGAAAGCAACTCGAAGCCATCGTCGCCGGCGCAGCGGTTACCCCGCCCAAAACGTTCGCTGAGGTCGCGCGATCATCGCCGTCGCCACAACAGAGCATTGCCCTGTCGCTCTCGCCTGGTAATACTGCAGAACCTACCGCGAACGAGTTTTTCTGCATGATTGATACATCCCGAGTAGAGGAACAGGACAGAGGCCGAGCACAGATAGGCTCGATTCGGCAAGCCATTGAAAATGAGGTCAGAACAAAGGAAGGTCAGGTGAACTGGAAGTGCGCAGCAGTTGTGAGGAACTCTCGAAACACAAAGCAAGTCAAGGTCATTTGCAGAGATGAAATCGAGCTGCAACGAATCAAGGAAGCTGCGCAGAAAACGGCGGTGACTGGAGCTCGAGTGATGAGAGATCAGCTTTACCCAGTCAAAGTCGACAATGTCAATCGTACCGCGATCCTCGACGGAGAAGGCAACATCCTACAAGGTGCGGCTGAGGCTCTCGGTGTCGAAAATAATGTCTCAATCGGTAAGATCACCTGGCTGAGCAACAAAGAAACGAGCAAAGCATACGGGTCTATGGTAGTCTACGTGACGAAAAAGAACGATGCAAAGAAGCTTTTGGATGGCAAGTACTTCGATCTGGCCGGAGAGTCGGCGTGCACCAATCCCTTCGAACCCCGCAAGGGACCGATGCAGTGCTTCAACTGTCAAGACATGGGCCATAAAGCCTTCAGGTGCAGCAAGCCTCAGGTGTGCGGAAGGTGTGCCGGTGCGGGTCATCACCACAGGGAGTGCCATGCAATGGACCCTAGATGCGTCTTGTGCGGCGGACCGCACGAGTCGTTCAGCCGGAACTGCCGCGTGCGAAACATCCACTCCAATGCATAAGACACTAAGCATTCTACAGCTCAATGTGCGAAAACGGGAACCAGTACAGCAGAGTTTGATGAACGACGAGGACCTCAAGGATTACGGAGTGCTGGCGGTCTCCGAACCGTACGCCAGGATGATCGACGGCAAGGTGGTGACAAGCCCCAGGATGCACAGCAACTGGACGAGAATATTGCCAACGCACATGAGCGACGGCCCCTGGCCGATCCGTAGTATGCTTTGGGTGCGAGACGACGTCGAAGTGATGCAGATGCCGATACCATCAGCGGATCTCACGGCAGCGGTGCTTCGACTGCCGGAGAGGAGCGTCCTGGTGGTATCGGTCTACGTGGAAGGGCAAAGCACAGAAGCGCTGAAAAGCACTACTGGGCTATTGCATGACTTGATCCAAAGATTCCGTCAAGGCTCTGGTGCACGCACAGATGTGGTGTTGGCTGGAGACTTCAACTCTCATGACCTACTCTGGGGAGGAGACGATGTTTCGGTTCAGAGACAAGGAGAAGCGGGGCTGATCATTGATCTGATGAACGAGCATGGCCTCAGGAGCTTGCTCCCGAGGGGCACGAAAACGTGGCAACGCAAGGATCAGGAGAGCACCATCGATTTGGTGTTGACGACGTCAGAGTTGGCAGACGAAGTGGCAACATGCACCATCCATCCGACCGATCATGGCTCAGACCATAGAGCTATTCAGACGACGTTTGACATCACGATGCCCGAGGAAGGGCGAGGCCAAGACTCCTGTTTAAGAATGCCCTGGAATCTCATACGAGCCCGGGTGAAAGACAATCTGCGACTCTTGCCTTGGGCTGTCGACGTTCAAACCCAGACGGATCAACTGATGCGGATCGTCCTGGAGGCTATCCACGAACTGACGCCTCGGGCACGGCCGTCACCGTATGCAAAACGTTGGTGGACCAAGGATCTCACACAACTTCGGCGGACACACACGTTCTGGCGAAACCAAGCGAGAACGCAACGACGAGGAGGCCAACCGCGACCGGAACTCGAACGGCGGGCCAAAGAAGCGGCGAAAGAGTTCCACGATGCCATTCGATACCAGAGGAAGACGCATTGGGATGACTTCCTCTCCGACGATGCCAACATCTGGAAGGCGACTAAATATCTTAAAGCCGGCAAGAGCACTACGGGCGACAAGGTGCCACCTTTGAGGAAAGGGGATGGATCGACGACCGAGGATAAAGCAGACCAGGCAGACGAACTGCTCATTGCCTTCTTTCCACCCTGACGGCTTCAAGCAGCCCGGGAAAGTGTGGAAGCTACGCAAAGCCCTGTACGGGCTCCGTCGTTCCCCCCTTCTTTGGTATAAGGAACTCAAGAGGTTCCTTATAGGGCAAGGTTTTCAACTCGTCATGGAAGACCCGTGCGTCATGCACACCAACACCATCGTCGTTTTCTTCTATGTGGATGACTTTGTGGCTCTCTTCCGCAACGGACAAGCAGCGGATTTTCAAGCTTTTCACGATAGCCTCATCGAAGCCTACAACGTCAAGGTCCTTGGAGACCTACGTTGGTTCATCGGCATTGAGGTTATCAGAGATCGGCCTAACAAGAAGCTGTGGTTGAGTCAGAAGTCGTATATTCAGAAGATCGCCAGCAGATTCGACTGTACGACGAATTCAAAGCCGATCAAGCAGCCGCTTGGCCTCGAACTCCTGGAACCATTCAATCAAGCATCCCCGACCAACGACATAGAGCTATTTCAAGCTCTAATTGGCTCCTTGATCTATGCGACGATCATCACCCGGCCTGACGCGGCATTTGCAGCATCAAGGCTATCCCAATTCCTTCAAAACCCAAGTCCTGTTCACATTCAACAGGCAAAAAGGGTTATTGAATTCCTCTACAGAGACGTCAACAAAGTCATCGAATTCGACGGCCAAAACCACACGTGCGAAGCCATGTCCGATGCTTCGTTCGCTGACGACCACAGAGACCGGAAGAGCACCCAAGGATATGCTATCAAGCTATTCGGAGGCCCCGTCGTGTGGAAATCGGGAAAACAAGACACTGTGACTACCTCGTCGACAGAGGCAGAGTTACTGGCCCTCTCACAGGCCTCGAAGGAGCTTCTAGCGTTCCATCGCCTTTGTAAAGAAATCACCCTCGATCTTGAATCCAAAGACCCAGCCATCCAGTGTGATAATCAACAGACCATACGCCTTCTTACGCAAGAGATGGTGACTTTGGTGACCAAGCTGCGCCACGTTGATATTCATCACCATTGGCTTCGTCAAGAGGTTCAGAACGGCAACCTACAGGTCGATTGGATGCCTACCGCGCACATGGCTGCTGACGGTCTCACCAAAGCTCTACAGGGACAGAAATTCGCTGAGTTTCAACGTCAAATCGGGCTCGTGGACCTACCATTGCAGAATTAGTTGCTATCTGCAGCTGCCGGCTCTGGCGAACCCCAAATCGCACCTCCAAAAGCGACCCAAACACTCATTCCAACGCAAATCATTTGATCAACGAACCACAGGCGCCGGCCCGCAAGTCCGGTAGCTATCCAACGCTCTTTTAACCAACTGTCAACTTCGAATTCGCCGTCAAGGCTCAAGGACGCCAACTGCTACTAACAGACCTTCCACAAGTCCAGGCTCTACGCACAACGCACAGCCTGAAGGGGTGTGTCACGTATAAGGATGTGTCAGGGGTCTTCAGAACGTTGTTGGTAAGCAGTGGCATCGAACCTTCTAGATGACAACGTCATCTAGGCGGCCTGGGTGGCGACATGATATCGCCACCCCAAGGCAGCCACAAGTGACAGAACTATAAGAAGTGGCTTTTGTTAGAGAGAAGGAACAATCACTTCAGAGCAGTCAATACACCAAAACCTCTATGCACCTTTTCGTACTCGTAACGCGACAACAACAGACTTTTAAAAATTTCACCTTATATTTCGACCATATCGCCATTCATTCAAAATTTTGATGAATGAATTGAATAAAGACTCCTGATTTCTGATTCATCGAATTTGAAGACCTCACCCGATTCGGCTTCATTCAATTCAAGGGTCCCGAGGCCGATTCGACTTCAAAATCTTCAAATATCAGCCCTAACTGGGTTCAATTCGACGATTTCCCTGACCTGGCGAGCTGCTTCCTGGTAGGTCCATCTTTCTTCTAGCTATTGTTTTGGTCGCTTTGGGGATTCTCGATGCAGTCCTGGCCTATGTGCTTGGTAGATCTTGAACTGGATGGCAGCGGCTTCTTCGTCTAGCCTTTTGCTTCCGCGGATAAATATAGCCGAGAAGCCGTCGGAAAGGGGCTTAATCAGGCTAGCTATGTCTCGCAGCCATTGGCCGGTCACAGCCTCCACGAGGAAGTACTGTTCAGCTTCTCCATGATTTCCTCCCATCTAGCGAGCCAGGTAGAGATATTCTTCGTCGGAAAAGCTCGAAGATGGATCGTATACTGGGCTCGGATACGTTCCATCATATAGCCCCTCGTTGGGGCTGTCGAGGCCTCGAGCTTTACAAACCACTCCCGAAGAGTCTCGTCGTCGTGAAGGGAGGTCAACTTCGCTTTGCTAATCGTTTCCGTAATCGTCGTACGGGCTGCTGTGACGAGCCTCGTCTCGTAGAGGTATTCCTTTCGGCGACCTTCGTAGTCCCTCGATGCTTCAGAATAAGCCTTCTGCTGGCCTGCATTCAGATCAGCAAATCTTTCAGCCTCAGCGTTGAAGTCACTGAATTCGGGGCGTTCAGGTAGTTCAAGGGGGGTCTTGTCATGTTCGAAGATGAGCTTGTGGATGGTCTTGTCCACACGGGCCCGAAGCTCCTTTAGCCACTTATCCCAATCCTGAGGCTCCGTAAGAATCGTGCGCTGGATGGTGTCCTTCGACATCTTGGTTGAAGCAGAAAGGATGATTAAGGAGAGAAATGGGGCGTAGAGGTGTCTTAATCGACGATAAGTTCAATCGAGAGCGGTTGTGGAAGAATGCAGCAGCCGGAAGTTACAGAAACACTGTTTCTCCCGGGCTCATAACTCTCGCGGAGAGAGGGTGCAAGTGATGATTAGATTATGTTTCTTGTCCTTAGATGCTTCCTCCTCCCTAACAAAAAGTGACTTCTTATAGTTCTGTCACCTGTGGCTGCCTTGGGGTGGCGATATCGCCACCCAGGCTGCCTAGATGACGTTGTCATCTAGAAGGTTCGATACCACCGCTTACCAACGACATTATTCATCCTTCTCAGTCACCTTTGCTAGAGTCAACCCGACTAGGTAACCCTCGGACTTAGATCGTTAACCCGTTTTCACGACAGCCTCCTGACGATGATTCTTCTCGTTATTCCTCCACCACATGGCCAAAATGTCCTCAAAACGGCCTCGAAGTGTCTACACGGAGGAGGACATGGCAATTGCTGTGTTGGAAATCACAAACAACGGCTTGTCGCAGTATCGTGCTGCTCAAAAGTACGACATACCTCAGCAGTCTAGTCATTCACTCGCATCGCCTATAAAGATGTAGCCCATGCGACGCTCTAGATAGAAGAATCAAGAGTCTTCCAGTCCCTGATCTTTATGCTCACTTGCTCATCCTCCGTGCGATAGATCGATTTCCAAGCCTGGTTACAGTTATCAAGATCCTCTTGGACATACTTCGCGACAGTCACACCACGAAGTTTGCCAAGTTACGAGGAGGACATGCAGCTGTATTTTAAAGACAATCTGTGATGTAGCTTTGTCAAGTTCATTGTATAACTAATGTGGTCTAACGTAAGGCCTTTTATGTAGCCTTAGACACCTGAGGTCTTGGGCTGCTCCTCGGAAGATTCGTCCGGAATGGAAGCCTTTTCCGCCCCACTAAGGTTAGCCTTATTGGGAGCATTGTCGTTGATGTTATTCTTCTTAGGGCCCGTAGTTCCGTCAGTGTCCCCCACGATGGACTTGATCTCATTGTTGATATCATCGTACATTTTTTTAATCTCTTTGTCTGGGCTGTCTTCGATTTTTCTCTCAAATGCTTCAATCATCTGCGGGATCTTGCCTGGGCCCCCGATTTCGGGGGCTCCATCAGCAGTAGTATTCTGTCGCCTGGCCAGATGTATGTCAGCACCGAAGGCGCCTTGAGTGTTTATTGTGGCGGCGAAGGCAATTGCAGCAACTATTTGTTACATGTCGTTAGTAGAGATGAGAAAGGGTGGGGGACTATATTAATGACGTACAAGCCAGGGTGACGGCAGCGATGCGGACCATTTTCGATTTTTGGAATGGAAAAAGTGTTTTGTAAAGATGTATCAGAGCTGTAATGAAAAAAAGAAATACACAACTTCACTTGGTCAAGTAGGCTTTTTTAACTTGTTGCTTGATGCAGTGATGAGATGGATGCTTGCTTGTCGAAGTGTCCTGCTCAACTTGGAATCTGGCCTCAATTTATATTTAAAAAAAAATGCCGTCCAAAGACTATAAAGTGCCAAGTAGCTGAGTCATTTGACACACTCGTAGTTGGTTTCAAGCATCTGGGTACCTAGACATTCGCTTTAAAGTTCATGACCAGTTCTAGTTGGCGGATTCCCTAGTAGTCGTGGACCACCTACATGATGAGACGATAAGCCATGACTCTCTCCTGTGCTTCTAGGATGACTCGTGTATGGGACGCCTGCGCACTTTCTTCATTATTGTATACAGTAAGGAACTCTTGACTCGAACCCCCAAAGTCGCTATTTTGCGTGATGACATGGCCCGGCGTTCCTGGTTCATGTACGAAGCTACGAGAAGAACACTTCGAACACCCGTTAAATTCCTGATCTTCATGCTTGCTGCTGCTCTACACCTCGTGCGATAGGGCTTCACGGCTGAATATCCAGCCCGAAGGGTGAACATCGTATACCTGCAATTCAAGTGTACCCATTGGCTCCGCGCAGCGCTTAGTTGGCCCGAAGGGTGGAGCCAATGGGTACGGATGAGGGTTGTGTGTGTGGGCGGTACAGCTACCTGCCAGCCCCGCGCGGTACAATTGGGTAGGGCGGGCTGGCGTTGTGTTAGTACGTGTCTTAAAAATGGGGTGTAGGTTCAAATAGACATACGCGGAAGTTAAGTACAAATAGTAATACTCATTGGAAAACCCCATCGTTTTTTTGGTTGATGCAGGGTTGTAAAGTTGAAAATTGAGAATTCTTGTTCATTCGGGTGATCTGTTCATCTGGGTGTCCAGCACCCACTTGGGTGAGCCAAAGCGAATCCCAATAAAGTGGGGGAGGGGCACGATTACAGTGGGGAGACAAAAGTGTAGCTGCTTCTAGAACTTCAACACGGTCCCTGTCAGCCTGATCGTCACTTATCATGCGCGGGTTCCATCAGGCGAAGCCAGGAATGGAAGCCTATGGGCCAGCATCGTAGGACAGATGGGACTTGAGCTGCTGAATGTGTCGGGAAGAAAGACCGACATCAGACATGTGTCAATTGCAGCGCACCTGTTGGAGCACGTTCCACTTTTTGCCTGCATGGCGCAATAGTCTTCGCAACAGTTATCAACTCTCTCCTGTAAAAATTTTTCTCGTCTGCGGGCTGTTAGCAGCCTGTTAGTGGAGAAGAATTTTTCAGGCCACCCGACCATGCTTCTGCCTCTCTAGCCCTAACGGGGCTCTAGCAGGCACCAAAGGCAGACTTTGGAGAGTTCGTCTCCTCTTGGGAAGCTGGTCTCGAATAACGGCATGCCTCGCGCTGCCTCGCCTTCTGCCGCCTCGCGGCATCGCCTTCTTCTGCCGCCTTTACTGGCTGGCCTCGACTTCTGCCGCCTCGCGGCCCCGACCTCTGCTGCCGCCTCGCGGCCCTGACTTCTTCTGCCGCCTCGCGGCCCGACTTCTTCTCGCCCTTCCAGGCACACCTCGCGCTGCCTCGCACCCTCTGCCGCCTTTCCGTTTTCTGCGATATTTCGTTACTACCGTCTTAATTATAGCGCAAGTGTGTCATGCAACTCTTGGAATCACGCTAGACGACGGTTTGCATGACCTTAAAGATGAAGAGGGCAAGCCAATCGGCCAAAATCTCTTCGTCTCGCGCCTCAAAGTCCCCGATGGCCAGCCCAAACTTCAACATGGAGACCTAGTAGCAATAGGCATGAATGCCCGGATAGAGGTGGATGGCCTTGCTACAGCCAAGGGAATCGACAAACCGGGCATGGTTTCTATCCTATCTGTTGACAACGAAATCTTCATAGCAGCTTCGGTAAAGAATTCGGCAAGCAATACTCACGATGGACCACCCGTCCGTCCCCACAATATGTTTCCAGGAGAGACGGCGCACGTCATTAACTTGTGCGGAGGCCACAGGACGGGCGGATCCTGTGGCGAGATAGCTGCATTGGACTTGTATTATAGGACTCGCGGAGACGCCATTGAGAGACACAAGGGTTCGGAGAGCCCCATCCTCAAGGAGCAAGAGGCGAAAATCAATGGCCCCCTCAAAAATAGTATCGTGGTCGCAATCAACACGAGCGGAAAAGTCCAAGCCCCCTGCTCAGCGGTAAGTGCAACCGAATCTCGGGGGAAATAGGGAATACGGAATACGGCATAAGCGTTAACCAAAAAGCAGAATGGTGCAGGATGCAAAGCGGTAGTGCAGAAACTGGGATTGGATGCGGTCGGTCCAAAGACAAAGCCTACTTCCCTCAATGTCCACAACTTCGAACATCTACTCGTTCCCAGATTCGATGAGTACCAGGCTGATCCCGGTCCGCTGGGGCGCCAGAATAATGGCAATAATCAATGCAATCGGAAGAGAGGTCTCTGCTCCAAGCCCAAGCCGACCGAGAAACTCCCACAGCAACAGACCCCATTTGAGAGTCTCAAAGCTTTCGTTCGCCCGAAGGTATTCCATATAACCGGTGCAAATCTTAGCAGTGGTGGTGGCGGTCTTAAAGCTCTTTTAAAAATTTTCAAAAAACTTCCATGGAAGACTATGGCCGGGGCTTTTTCTGGTCATGGAGGCCCCGATCATCCTCCTACCACTGACAACGAAAATTGCCCTCCTGGGCCGTTAGGGTTAGGGGTGTTCTGGCCAAGTAGAGGTTGCATTGAATCTGGAGGCACCCTTAAACCTGATGAAAAAAAGCTTTTTCTCTCACTTTCTCCAGAAAAACAGAAACAATTTCTTGCTCTTACGGATGAACAACAACACGCCATCGTTATTGAAGCTATGGGTGGTCCTCAACTCTATAATTTTCTAGAGGATTGTCGTGGTCGGTCATCCTTCTATTACAATTGGGACTTTCCATTCGTCCATCGCAATTCTCAATCGGTCGAAGAATGCGTTGAAGCTGAAGTGGATAAAGCTGAAGCTGAAGCTCAAAAGACCACCACCGCAGAGCAGGCATCTACTGCCACCGCAGAGCAGGCATCCCAACTGTCGCCAAGCGTGGCCGGATTTCGCAGGTCTCGGAGGTATCCTTAGGTCTCGCGAAGGAGAGAGCAAAAGTGGGCATTACGGGCGACTGTAGGCCAGACTGTCTCAAAACGCATTTGGGAAGAAAATTTGTCATTACGTATACCCTACTGTGACCATAGAGGGTTATGGCCCATTTTTAAATATTCGGCTTAGCAGAAGCAGGGTTAATTGCATATACGACGAAGTTATAGCAGATCTTTACAGTCACGTTTCTTTCTTCCCCCTACTTTATTTTGCGTGGACGAATATTAAAAATGCAAGCTATCACGATTGACAGTATTCTCCTCCCATCAATTCCTCCTACTGCACAACAACCAATAACTAGCATTGAACTTACATCATGGGCGTTGTCTAAAGTGCATCAAGTCCGTTCGTCCAAGGTCGAGAGATTGCTAGCATCTACAGCCTCTAAACGCTTTATATGTCTCAATACGAAGGCGAGGCAAGGTATATCACATTCGCATCGACTTAAGCTTACACGAAGCCAACATCTCGATGCCGCCTTGATATTTATATTCGGTGATCAGCCGAAAGCTCCCTGTGTCCAGTGTATAAAAGGGAATGGGGTGTTTCAAGGCTGTTACACTCTGAAATGCTAGGGTCAGGTGCATGCGCGAATTGCACGTACTCATCTCGTGGGTCGCTATGCAAACTACACTGTAGCACTCTAGTTCTACCTATAAAAGAAAAGGAAAAGATTCAACTAATAATCGTCTTAGGTCATCATCAAACAGAGGAGAACTATAGCTATTCCCAAGAAAGCGAGGACCTACAGTCAATTACTCCTCGGCAGTGGCAGATAATTGGGAGAAAATTCCAGGAATGGGTTGAGATAATGGTACACAACTCATATTGTGGGAATGTAGCATATAGCTATAGTAGGATTGTAAGGGAGGTGCGCACACACGCACACGTGACCCTTAGCGTCACGTGTATGGACCTCGGGGATCCGTGTATAAAGGGCACGTAGTGTGCCCCCTCATTCCCTTTCCTCCCTTCCTAGCTAGACATCTTGAATACAACCCATTGCGTTACTGCAGTACAAACCTCCCGACACTGATCAGTGATCGATTTGGTCGATCACAGATTGGCAAGGAAGAAGAGATAGAACGCAACCTTCGAAAGCCCAACTACCATATTCCTAGCGATATTGCCCTGGTTGGACCTAGAGGAGGTTTCTATGCTAAGATCAAGGACTCTACGATTACCCGGACCCGGCAACCAACTAGCTCCCGGTAGGCCATTGATAGATCCTTCCAACTTCACTTAACGGTTACATTAAGTGCAGACTTGCAAATAGATAAATCAAATCAAATCCGGGGTCCAATTTGATTTGATTTGGATAGCAAAATCATGGATCTGATTTGATTTGATTTGATTTGAATCGATTTGGATCTCATTTGGATATCTGGATAGCCCCACTTTTTTCCCACGACAAAATACATTGAGCCGCTCCTATAAGGTCCGCTTTGATAAGGTCCGCTTTGAGGCGGCCTCTCTGAGCTGCGGCCATCTGTCCGGCAAGGCTAAATATTCTCTCCGGCTCTGAAGACATCGCCGGAATGGAAAAGAGGTCGATTGCCATTCGCGACAGGCGTGGATATTGGCGTCTGCGGAGAAGCCAGTACTGGATGGGATTGTCCACAAGACAATCGCCCGGATCGGTACTGCCCACCCATTCTGCGTACTCGTCACGCATGGAGGACGGTGAGGGCGCAGGTTGGGCGCCAAGTTTCCTAATTGAGGTCATGAAGTCATCTAGGTCCGTTGTCTTCCTTGCAGCTGTGGGCTCCTCGGGTATCGTATCTTGC